GCTCGTCCGTTCCGTCTCCACGCTTAGAGACTGTAACGGTACAATGACCGAAGGGACTTATGGGTCCCGAAAACTTGGACCCAGCGTGCTTTGGGAACCAAAATACTCGTCCACAGTCTCTCTCGTTTCAATATTTTCAAGATGGCGGCGAAAACGAGAGAGACTGTGGACGTGGTTCCCAAAGCACGCTGGGTCCAAGTTTTCGGGACCCATAAGTCCTTTCGGTCATTGTACCGTTACAGTCTCTAAGCGTGGAGACGGAACGGACGAGCGAGAGACCACGGAAGAGTCTATAAACTGTACTGAGACTGGGCCTCCTGTGTCGAAAAAGGACAACTGATAACGATATATATAACGAAACCTTTCTTTTTCATCCAAACTTTAAGGCATAAACAATGTCTTTACAAGCTATCAAGTATAGTAGAGGAAGTCTTGAAGTTCTGAACCAACTTCTCCTGCCAAATGAATTGAAATATGATGAGATTTGTAAAGTTGAAGATGGATGGAGTGCGATACGATCCATGAAGGTAAATAACAAAGTCAGAAGATTATTACATAAGCCTAACTTTATTCGTACCACATGCAGTAAGATCAGGTTATTTTCTTTCGTGTTTTTCTTTATACCAAGATAATTAAGCTTACTTTGTTGTGATTCTAGTTAAATGTTCATTCGATTCTGCAAGTTAAGTGTGCCATGCACGTGAAGTTTCAGCTTATGACTTATGTCAAGATTCTTTAATATTTTGTTATTTAAATTTATGATTATTACTTATACACTATTTCCTATACACTGTGTTATCGTTATCGTCTTAGTTTGAACAATTTTGAACTATTATCGAGTGATTCCCAGCTTCACCTTAGCTTGTTTATAGAGGCTTTGCACTATCACGTTCCGGGGCCATAATACTGTGTAGACAACAATAAAATCCCTTTGCTTTTGGGAATTGAATTCTTTCTCATGTAAAACGATTGTATTGTTCCTGCCATCTAACATGGCTGCCATCATGTGATGGTGCAAAGCCTCTATTGTAAAAATGCAATGTGCTTCAGATTGCTTAGAGTACCCCCATCTGGATTGTGATTTTTTTACCCCTCCCCCCTTAAGAAATGAAGGGTCCATTAACAGAGACTTTTTTGTATCAGGTGCGAGGTGCTCCTGCAATTGCTATTGTTGGTGCCTTAAGTCTAGCAGTTGAAATCTTCCCAATGACTTTCAAGACATTTGAGGACTTGTCATCTTTTGTCAGGGAAAAGCTTGAATATTTGAAAACAGCAAGACCCACAGCTGTGAACATGACTGAGGCAGCAACGAGTTTGAACAAGTTTTTGGCAAATATGCCAGACAATACTGAACCAGAGAAAGCCAAGCTTAACTTGCTTGAAAAAATTGAATCAATGCTGTCAAAAGATATTGCGGATAATAAAGCAATAGGAAAGCATGGAGCTTGCCATATGATTGAAAATATTGAAAGCAAAGAAAAGTTAAGGATTTTGACACATTGCAACACTGGTTCCTTGGCGACTGCTGGATACGGAACGGCATTAGGTGTGATAAGGAAACTACATGAAATTGACAAGCTGGACCATGTATTTTGCACTGAAACACGTCCCTACAATCAAGGCTCCCGCCTCACTGCATATGAATTGGTCTTTGAAGAAATTCCAGCTACACTCATAGCTGATTCTATGGTTTCCATGGCAATGAAGCTTAAGGACATCAGTGCTGTTGTGGTAGGAGCAGACAGAGTGGTTGCTAATGGAGATACAGCTAATAAGATTGGTACTTATCAACTGGCCATATCAGGTTTGTTTATATAATAATAATATAATAATAAATTGGAGGTTCTTATATATCACATTATTCAATCATATACATTGTCTCAATGAATTTTTCAATTATTTGACGACCAGTGGAGGACTATAAGGGCTGCATATTATGCTGTACTATTCACAAATCAAATTTAAGTTTATATAATATATTAACACTGTATTTTTGCTTTTCTTTTTAGCAAAATTTCATTCAATTCCTTTCTATGTGGCTGCACCAACCACGTCTATTGATCTCACACTTAACAGTGGCAAGGAAATAGAGATTGAAGAAAGGGTGGCTAAAGAGTTAACTCTCTTCCAGGGTATTAGCATTGCTCCACATAACGTCAATTGCTGGAATCCTGCATTTGATGTCACAAATTCTGAGTTAATAACTGGTGGTATTATTACAGAATTTGGTGTTTTCTCTCCGTATGACCTTAAGGCCAAAATCAGTAATTTAAGCCACAAAAAATAGAAATTGAAGTGTTAGGGAAAAGTCTTCCACGGTTGATGTTTCAAACTACAATTTCTAAATTGATCCTATGGTTTCCATGGCAATGTAATTGAAGAACATGTTTCAGAACTGTTGCGTTGAGAGCAGAGTGGCTCCATGCATACAAATGACGATACAGCCAAGCTAGCTATAGCTATATCAGGTTTGTTCAGGGTTCGTGCTAACCTTTTTTAAATCCTTGAAAAGCCCTGGAATTCAAAACCCATTTTTAAGTGCACTTGAAAAGTCCTTGAAAATAGCAAAGTTGCTGGATACTCCTGGAATATTCCTTGAATTTGTTACAGTTCCTTGTAACTTATTATGATCAGCTACTTTTTTTTGACAATTCCTTTTTGTTATTTCGATTGTAACTTCAGGTCACTTACAGTATGTATTTGCTATTTTCCATCATTTTAATCAATCATATCGAGTTTCAAAACCTTTGTTTATGTAAAATTTAAATAAAAGTCATTAATATATGTGTTAGTTGTTCCTATAAATTGTTAAGACGAAATTCCCAAACAAAATCGTAATTTTTTGACCTCGAAAAGTCCTTGAATTTAGTGTTGGAGATGTAGCACAAACCCTATTTGTTTTTCAAAATCTCATCAATGATTCGTGAAGGAAACACAATAGAAATCATAACCATGAAGGAGGTTTTATATCTGATATAGATTCATCTTCATTTGCATAAACTTTAACTTGGATTTTCTCTATCAAACTTGGTTCATTTCGTGAAGAATTCAGTACAATATGAGAACATACATCATCAGTTTTCGAAGCCGTTCAATAAACTCGCAGATCATGTTTTATCAGGTCTAAAAACACTTGGCTATGCCTCATGTTTTTAAATCCTGATAAAACACTCCTGCAAGTTTATTAAATAGTACATAACATGAAATCCCACATACCTTTATTAATAGCAATAATTGCATAGCAGGCTTATAAACAACTTGCAGCATTATTAATTATTCTGTGGCAATTAAAAGCATATTACATCAAATTATATTGAGAAAGATGTTTTTTTTTAGTACAGCTTAGTAACTTATATGACAAAGGCATATTAACTAGGAGTGTGTTAAAGTTCAATTAGCCCTCCCACCTCCCTTAACTTATCTGCTTAATTATGTAGGTAAAATATTAACCCCTTTGGCCAAAAGATCTGTTGAATATTGAATATCAAAAGTGCAGATAAGTAACATGTAATCCACTGTAAATTTAATTTTAAGTGTTCTTTTCCTGTGACTTCATATTATAATGTATATATAATGTATACAGACAAGATAACTAGCTAAAAACTAGTGTGAGCTGCGTCAGTGTTTCTAATAAAACAGTAATGATAAAAAGGTCAATCATACAAAGAAAGTGAAAAGATGAAACAACTGACGTTTCGGACGCTAGTCCTTTAATTGTCGGAGTAAAAGAGAAAGGTAGTAGAAAGGAGTGTTTATATAATAATAATAATAATAATAATAATAATAATAATATGATATTAATAATATAATGTATACATATTTGAATGTATAAATCAATAAAAACAAACTGTTTATTAACAAAGAAACATTTGGTATTCTTGTTTCTTTTATTCAGATTCAATTACAATCTTATTTATTTGCTTGGCAATGAGTTATAGGTGACTAGTTATAGTTATACTGTTTAATTTACAGTATCTTAAAAAGCTAATAACAAAATAAAGCTAAATTACATATTTTAATGGTTTATGAAAGTTTTAAATCATTTTTTTCAGTTGGATCATCTTTAACATTACCACTTTTTCTATATGAAGTATGATATTCATGGGAAACAGATTGTTTGATTGCTACTCGCTGATTGAGACAACAGTGACAGGGAAATCGGGAAATCACATAAACTGTTCACAACTCTGTTTGATGGGAAGAAAATCAGGCAATGAGATGAACTGTTTACTATCCTAATTGATGGGAGTTTAACTGTTGCAACTGTTGTCTCAATCAGCACATGGTAATTAAAGTGCCTATGACCCCTAACTCAATGTTTTCAGCATTGATTCTACATGAAGTTAAAAGTTAAATAGTAAAATATTTTTATATGATTTGAGTGATGAATTTTGGGGATATCAAGGTTTATACTTCCAGCATGCTAATAAGTGTGATGTCATACTAGGCATTTGGGTTTATTTGTCATCATTTTTAAATCAAAACACTGATTACAATGAGGAAACAAATTTGCAATAACCTTTTTATAAACCCTGAGTAAGATAACTGTTTTATACAGGATATTTTACTACCCCAGTAAATTTTCGTATATATAATAATGCCTCCTATGACATCACACTCAATAGCATACTGGAAGTATAAACCTTGATATCTCGAAGATGCATCACTCAAATCATATAAAAATATTTTACTATTTAACTTTTAACTTCATGTAGAATCAATGCTGAAAACATTGAGTTAGGGGTCATAGGCACTTTAAAGCAATGGTAATCGAAAACATAAAAATTTTGCTTTTTGACAATACTTAGTTGTTTCTAAAATAAAATCCATATTCAAGAACCAATAGATATACAATGTATAACAGACTGTTTAGCCCAGCAGGATACAGCCATCCATCAGTTTTTCCAAAAGTTTGGATCACATGCTAGTTTTCGTTCAAACGACAAATACCATTTCTGTACCACACTCATGGGAATAAAACTTTCGCTAGGATTAGGAGTCATTTGTGTTTGTGTAATTGAAAAGGAACTTGCATAATTCACAAAACTTTCCATCATCTTTTGAGTGAACTGCACAAAAGTGTTCAAGGTAGTTGGAGTGGCATTTGCAACTGGTGTTTGTTGTGCTAGTTGAGTAAGAGGCTCGATGGATATCCCTATTTGAGCCATGGTATGGTCTTGCTGTTGTACGTTTAGTGAAAAAGGATTGCTAACAACATCTTCAGGCTTGGCCTGTCACATAGAGGCAATAACATTAGGTACGTGTATAGATAGACAAACAGACAGACAGACAGACAGMCAGCCAGACAGACATCTTTATTTATACAGTAAAAATACAAAAATGTGTTCGTAGCAAGGAGAGGGCAAGTTTTCCATCGTTGTCCCTCAAAGAATAATTATAAATGCTAGAATGATTTACAAACTTGGCATTTAGATAACCAGGAGCTAAGCTATGTACCGATTTGTAGACCATCGTAGCGAAACACATTTGACGTCGAGTCTAGAGTTTTGGCAACGTGTATGAATTCACTCAACCAAATTTAATCCATACACATCAGTTGTTCACTTAGTTGTTGATAGAGGTAACAGGATTTTTTTTTGTGTTGTGATTTTAAGCTTATAAGCATAATGTTTTCCCATTTCAGACAATGCATCATATTTTTTCTTGAGAATAAGTTTCTCTGCTTCATTTGATTCAATTGTATTCAAATGAACAGCCATTAAACAAAGAAATGATACTCTAGAAAATTACATGAGCTCTGAAATAGCCAACATTATACCTAGACTAAAAAGGTCTACACCTGCCGGCAAAGGAGCCTAAAACTATAATAATATTTTCCTCTAAAGAAAATTACCCACTTCTTCCCCACGGCCTCTGGCACCCAGGGTACCCCATAATGCATAAATCAAAAACGATATTGTATTGATGATTTCAAGAGGTATTACAGTGCAACTACATATACACAACCCAAGGCCACTCAAACAAAATTTTCACAAATCATCTAATCACTCTCAAGTATCTCAACAATAGAATTACAGGACATTTAAGGCTCGGTAAATTTCACTGTTGAAATGTAATGTAAAAATTTAACAAAAACATTTGATATCTTGTAATTGTATTACTATTATCAATGGATACAATAAATATATGTTATTTACTGGCCAGGAGGTCCAGATAGTTTTCAAGACCAAGAGCACAATTCTTCCCTATCCGGACTGACTATAGGACGGTAAATAACTTATTGATTTTTTTCCCTCATATTTTTTACTTCTTTTTGTATTTGTTCTGTTTTGTTGTTTAGAGGCAAAGGATACCAGACCACGACCGCGGGCAGATACATGTACTGACAAAAATTAATACCGTCCCCTCAAACAGCCAATCAGAATGCACGATTTTTTAGGATACTGGACCGGAAAAAAATAATAAAACCTTAAGACTTATGTCGTTAAGATACTAGTGTTTGGATAACTCATCCTTCTCACGGTAGCATGAAATTATAAGATGTTTGATTAATTTGAAAAAGGAGTTTATGATTAAAATTTGTCACTGATAGAGTGCAAATAATATACCTGTGAAATAGTTAGGATGAAATAGGAGATAGTTAGTGCTTAATTAGACAAGACAGGAATTCAGTGAGGTATGACAAGGGCACGGGCGTTTACTAGAGTAACAACTCAATACGCAAATGAATAGATACGAAAATGTGAACATGTCAAATTATTCGAAGGAAAAGCATGTACAATAAAATATTGTTTCAGTTTTGTAAGTGTGTTTAAAAATATTTTAAAATGGGCGCCCTTGAGTAGCAAACACGACTTAAGTTTACCCCTCACGGCTCGCCTATTTTAACTAATTAGACTTAGGCAACCAAAGGTTAGTAATTAGTTAGCTAGCTATCTATTTCACAGGTACATTATTTGCACTCTACTGTAATAGTAAAGTTGCAAAGTTTTTTAGAGATTGCTCATAAGCTGACAACGACATGAACTTTTGAAACTGAGCATTTTTGCAAAGAAGTTTGTAATGTATGCCGGCCACCAGGCATCGCATGCTCAGTGAGCCTCGTTTTCATTTGTTTCACATACATTTCTTTACAGACAATTCACAAAAATTCTTCAATTCAAAAATTTATATCTTATCAGTTTAAGAGCAATCTCTATGAAAGTTTGTAATTTTACTATCATCAATGTGACAAATCTGTTTGTAAACTCCTGTTTTCAATTAATCAAATAAATATCTTATGTCACTCTAGCATGATCATGATATAGGGTTATTTTGTAAAAAAAAGTTTGAATGACCATGGTTCAAGTAACTCTCTCACTTATTCCCTTTTTCTATTTATCAAATATCTTATGTCACACTAGCATGATATACATGTAGGGTTATTTGTGAGAAAATTGTTTGAATGACTATTGGTTCAAATTACACTCTCACTGTAAAATGTTACATTACCTTGGATATTTTAAATATTGCACTTGGTTTGGCATTTGATATAAATCCAAGAAGCTGCCATGATTGACCTTGAGGACTTGGAAAACAGTAGTACACAGCTCCGCCCATATTGTCTGGGAACGGTACAGCCCCTGTAAGGAATATCACTATATGTTGAATGCTATCAGCATCTGGTAAGTTAAACACAACTTGTGTTGGACCAACTTGTTGAGCATCTGTTTGAACCTGGAAAAATAAATTTCATAATATTAATAACAATGATATATAATATGAACTCCAACCAATCATTATGATGTTCAGTAGCAGAGCATACCCGCAAGAGACTCGACATTGCCCTGACTGAAAAGATGTTGAATAAATAGATTGAGACCGCCATATAGGCTAGTAAACAAACTCTGTTTTAACACAACTTGTTAATTTCTCACTTGCTGATTGGCTAAGAGCCATTGTCGATTACAGGCTAGCCCTGCTTGTGCTGACGTTAGTAGTCACGCTGTTTCAAAGGTTGTAAAAATTTTATAAAGATTGACAGAAATTATCAAAACTTTGAAGTTAGGATCCTTTGCGGATATCATTCTATATATATTCGATAAGCACACACCATAGAAAAAGCTATATTGATTTGTTAAATGTACAATAATGAGTCAATTAGTACAAATAACTATAAAAAATAAGTCTAACTGTGTATGTATTTCCCATGTACTCTTACATAAACTATTATTTTATTCCTATTCTTGGAGTGCATAGCCGCCATGTTGGTTTACGTTGACAAAAGATTCGGTCTTGGAGTCTTGTCATGTCAACCAACATGGCGCAATATTTTGCTTTCCTGTGAACTGAAATCCTTTCACTGTTTTGCCTTTGAAAGTGAGTTGTACTGAGGACCATTTTACGGTTAATAGCAAACCCCAGCTCCTACAAATCACTCGAATAATCTGTATAATAAGCTTACGAGTTCTACATAACATTAAATTCTATACAAGAGAAATGAGCTTAGTTATTGAATCTAGTGTGACATACATAAAGGAATAAACTTACCAATCTTCCACACACAACACAGCCAAACATCGATGCCATTTTACTTTAGTACATCAGATCGATCGCTTTCTTTTTTTTTAACCACGTACAGTAGTCACCTACAGAACATAAATCAAGTCTATCTCAAGAGTGTGACTGATGTTAGATGATGTCAAACATCATCTAACACAGGAAACCCAACCAAAAGTTATTCGCAACACCGCAGACCGGCGAACAACGCAGGCTAGTGCCTGTTTAGCCAGGGAAAATTAGAACAGGAACAGAGAAACCTGGATGAAAAGGAGCTTGATTAAAGTGGAAAAGGTGTATCGCGAATTGATGGTTTTCACGGCGGCCATGTTGGAGGAACTTAACAAAAGAATTGTCGATGAATTCTTTTGTGTCATTATATAATTAACAATGAAATATCTATTTTCCTCTATTTCCAAAAATTGATACCTTCACACGTGAAAATAACATGTTGTTTTCACGTGTGAAGATAACACCATTGCGATGGCTATTCAAAAATACACGGAAAGAATTGCCTGAAAAAGCCAAAACATACTTCATTGATAATTATATAATAAACAGAACATGAGGAGCTTTGGTCAAAAAAGTTTAAACTTTGATTGACATAAAGTAGTTTCATGCTACATTTAGCGACACCTTCAAGGTATCGCAGTCAAAAATTGCATTAAAGCATTTTGTTTCATTAAGAATGCACTATACTAATTTCATGTTTCATGTTGTTTTTGTTTTGTCCAGCATTCGACTGTGTGACTAAAGTAAGCTAACGACTCTACGAAGAGCCTGAATGAAATCATATCATAGCAGAAAATTCTAATCAATTTACATCTGGTATGGTTAGGTATTTCACGTTACGATCTCCTAACGAAAAGATATAACTAGCTAAAAACTAGTGTGAGCTGCGTCGGTGTTTCTAATGAAACAGTAATGATGAAAAGGTAAATTATACACCGTGAAAAGATGAAA